ATTCATGTCATACACATTGGCGATATTTTACAACGAAAAACATAGGATATAAAAGAACTTTATTTGCAACCATATTTTTCTGGAAATAATGGTCAGCCACTACATGAACACGATGAGTTCATTATAGCGAAAGGTATGGGTACTTTTTCATTTAAAATTTGAGGGTGGGGTGTGGGTATTGGTGTCTCTTCTCTTAACTCACATCCACACCCAAACCCATCCACCCACACCCACACCATACCCACACTCACAATCACACCCACCCACACCCACAGCGTATTCGGGATCCGGTACAGAGCATCACAAACAATCAATTGATACTTTATATAAAACCATATTTTTGTACAAATTATGGTCGACCGGTTCACGCAGGCGATCTATCTATTGTAAAAACAGATATGGGTGATTTTAAAGTGAAAATTACTGAACCTGGTTCAAGTCCATGTTGTACGCTTATGGCTATGACACGTATAGATTACAAATGCTAACCAACTGAACGTCACAATCGAAAAGAATCATTAAATTAAATTGATTATTAGCGGCGTTGATAAATCAACTACTTTTTCTTTATTTAATCAATAAACATTTTTTGTAGAATCATTACTTTTTTGTTTCTTAAAAAATTCATTTAATTTATTACTAAAGAAGAAGTTTCTGGTCGATTTTATTTAAGTCATTGAAGTAAAAATAATCTTCATTTAAAAATATTTTTGTAAATGAAACTTTCATGAAAATTAAATAAAGAATTTTTAATCATGTAATTTGAAGAAATTATTTAAAATTAATTTTGATCAATTAAAGCTAAATTTAGCAAAAAGAAAATTTTATTTTATTAGAACTAATTCGAATACAAGTTTTTCTTCTTATTTTTGTCCTTTTTTCATTCAGAAACAATGAAAAAGATATGAAAAAAGAGAAAATGTTTTCTTTTAGAACAAATTCAAACAAAAAAGAATAAATTTCAACAATTTGGAATTACTGTTGCTGAGGGTAAAAGACCAGGACAGAAATTAAATCGACTCTTTCGTCCTCAAGGGATCTGTATTGATAATAATAAATCAATTTATATTGTTGATTTTGCGAATCATCGTATTGTTAAATAGAAAATGAATTTAAATAGAGGTCAAATAATTGCAGATGGAAATCGAAGTCGAAATAATCAACTGAATTGTCCAACAGACATAATTTTCGATAAAGAAAATAATTCTTTTATTATTTCGGATTGGCGATACAAACGAGTAATTCGGTATTTTGACCAAAATCAACAAATTACTATTTCAAATGTTGATTGTCATGGTCTATCAATTGATGAAAATGGATTAATTTATGTTTCTGATTGTAATAAGCATGGAGCAAGACGATGGAAACAAGGAGATAAAAAAGGTGAATTAGTCACAGGTGGAAATGGTCAAAAAAATCATTTTAATCAACTTAACAGTCCTAATTATATCTGTATTCATGAAGATGATTCTCTTTATATATCGGATTGGTATAATCATTGTGTAATAAAATGGAAAAATGATGCAAACGAAAGAATTATTGTTGCTGGTGGGAATGATAAAGAAAATAGTTTCAAACAATTATCTTTTCCTCAGGGAGT